AGAGGGAGAGAAAGAGGGAGAGAAAGAGGGAGAGAAAGAGGGAGAGAGAGTGCACATATATTCAGGAAAACTTTTTCTCAACAATTTTCCTGTATTAAAAAGAAATCAATTATGCTTGCAAGTCACTTGCAGAAAATTTTAATAATTTGCCAAATATACAGCTATTAGAATGACCCCAAATATCACTTCTTAAGTTACAAAAGTTGGTAGATAGCATAGTACAATGTTCTATAAAATAAACACAGGTAATATCAACAATACCTCCTATGGTTCAAGAATGGCAGAAAACAGCAAATGAAATTACAAACATATACAGATTAGAGAAGATTGAGGGTGGCTTTAGACAATTGAATCAAAGAAACTGAGACCAGACTAGACTAGATACATTCATCCATCAAGCATGTAGAATTAACAACAATTAACAACACAGCATCAGGTGCAGTTTCACATGCTTTCATCTACTTTCCAGTACAGTTCCCAGAGGATTAAAGTGCCTTTGTGCACTCCAGTTTCATTTAGAATCAGATGCGACACACATTGTATTTGGAAGTTACTTCATAGGCCACTTTTTAAAAAAAAATAAAGTAACTATTTGAACCAATGTACACAACTCAAACTAAGGCGGTTTTGAAACACCTTTGTTCTGACCATCTGCTACCAAATGTCATGTAACAAACTCCAAATCCACAAGGCCCACATCCACTAAATGAGACCAGAGTAAAAGATACTTAAACATGTTTTCTGCTGTACAACCTTTAGCTTTGTTAATTTTCCCCTTTCAAACATGTTTGCCCTTTGGATGATAATCTTCTTCTGCAGCATCCATTGCACATTGCTGTGTGAAGGACAGGCAGGGTTTGGCCTGTGGCTATGGAGACGAATGCACTTCCCAGATCACATCCTACTGTAACCCAACCAATAGGCACAGCATATCCTCCCTGCAAGACACCTGCTCAGTCCTCCTCAGGAACTCTCCCCATTCCCAAGCTCAACACTACCTGCAGTAAGGGAAGGAAAACTCCATGCAGTTCGACTGTCACTCACCTTGCCCTCAAAAATGTCCTCTTCAAACCCCAGGTAAAGACGTCTCATAAAGCCCACAGTCCAGTCTCCCATCGAAGCATCCCCACCAGCATCCACTCCCTCCTCCCACTCTCATCTCCCACTAGCATCCAACTCCTCCTCTTTCAGAGGAGTGTGCATTCATGCAGTATCTGAGGCATTTTTAATGGTGTTTTGAAATATCGGCACTTTAAGAGCAGTTGTGGGGCATAAGCTTTTTAGGAAATAAGAATTTCCATTAAAATATTCCACCGTGATGCTACAGAAGGTAGAAGGGCAAGGGCAAAGAAGGCACTCAGGAGGAAAGCTCACTTGAGAAAAAAAAAAAACAAAAATCAGAAGAAATGAGGAGGATGAACAGGTATTCATAACTTTAAACAGCAGATGTGGATGCTTCCTACATTTGACAGTTCTTCACATCATGAAGCGAGCACATAATTCCAATGATTTTAGGTTCAGGCTGTCAACACCCCTGCACACCTGACATGGCCAGCGTAGGTGATGCCTTCCCTTCACCACTGCTGCTGTTACACCTGAAAAGGCCCATTTTAAACTCTGCACAATCGAATCAGATCAGGAGCTCTGTGCAGGTGAGGAAGTTTTACAGGGTCTCAAGGTGTGTAACATATTAACGTTACTTAAAATATCACGTGCACTGAAATATTTCAAGAACATATGCACTCTGTTAATCAAATTACTGGAAATTAGTGATTTCCTAATCTACTGAGTACTTTAAAAGTTCTCCATAAAATTGTGAGGTTATGGAAAAGAACACTGGCTATGCACTACAGTAGAAAAAAAAACAGTACAAGTTTCATGAGAATCACAACTACAAGCAAAGTCTCCAGTTTAGTTCATAAAACAAATTGGTTAAAATATTTTAAACATTTCATAGCAATATAATGAATTCCAATGTAATTTATGCAACAAATTTCACCCATATCCAAAAATACCATATATGTAAATACTTTTTTATAAAACTTTATACAAATCAAGCTCTCCTTAAGCAAGCCTATACACACTTCTCATGTCACCTAGGCAGAAAGGCTTCAAAAACATATATTCTCAGAGTCCAAGAGTGACAATGCTGCATGAGTCTTCCCTTTTGACAGTCAGCTTTGCTAAACCCAAGTCTTATTGCTTAAAATCAAATTACATCAATCCTCAGCATCCCCAGCACCCAGCTACATCACACCAGCTTAGGGCAGGGACCAACCCTCCATTTTATGGGACAGAAATACCTACGAGCCTTGTTACCATTCCCATGAAGATTTCCACATAACGGTTGCCTGTCCTGCACACTTCAGCCAGAGAACAAAAGGGGCATTGCTGTCAGGAAGGGAGATTGATGGCAGTGTACCAGCTCAGTGACCAGCGTCTCCCTCTTCATCTTCTGATTAATTCCATATTCTGCTGAATGATTTCTGTGAATACATCTCCAACTGTAACTGAAAACCATCGGATCAGGTACAAGACACCAAGTCTAAAATGTGCAACAACAATGTAAATATAAGGGCTTTGCAGGTTTAGACTCACAGCTGGTACTATGCTCAAACACCTCTACAGTAAGCTTTATTTACAGATCTTCCAACAAAAAAATACCATTATCTCTCAAGCTGCATTTTAAATTAACAGAAATACATTCATAATAACTACCGGTACAAACACCATGATAAAATTATTTTTTTATTCAAAATATTCTGACAGGTTGACAATATTCCAGGTGCATTACAAACACTGCCATAGCCAACAAAACAATCGATACTTAAAGAGCATTCAAACACTGAGGAAGTATATCTTAAAGCAGAGACAGGACAGTGCGTGATACCAAGAGCATACAGATAATTTTCTAATAACTGACTTCTTTGAGGCAAATGTCTGATTTCTCTGGCACAGAATGGATTAAGATCCAGAAGAGATGAATTACTGAGGACAAAAATTATGACGTTGCCCATATTTTCTGTAAAACCTTGTAAATTTATCATACAAGGCCACTTAAGCCTGGAGTACTCTAGTGTTATGGAATAGAACAACGAAAATCATAACAGAGAAATCAGCGTCAAAGCAAACAAACCCGCAAACTCTTTCTAGAATATGGCTTAAATTAATTCACAGAGGTTTGGAAATATACTAACTATATGGTGCAAGAGAAATACCAGGTAGAAAAAAAAAAGTCCCTTTCTTTCTGGTACCTTCCCCTCAGCCTTCACCTTAATTCACATGAAATTGTCAACAAAATGATACTGCTCCTCCTCTGCAAGCCCCTTTTCCCACACTTCAAAAACATTGTTACTAACAGTTGGTTTCATTCTTGAATGCTTTGGCCAACATGAGCTCTGAAGTTAAAACAATGTAGTTCTACACACAGTAAATACCCTGTTTCTTCAATCGACCCAAGTTCTCAGATAAAATTTCAGCTTTATTTAAAACAGCATATTTGCCTGAAAAACTATGTGTTTCTTTCTCATACAGATAACAGATTTGAAATGAAGAAGTTGCCAAGACATGTACACAAGTGAGTGCACAACTGCAGAACGCTGTACAGAGAGAGCAGCAAGGTCACAGGGTCACGGTAAGCCCACAGGGAAAAGACAAACGTTTCCAAGGACCATTCTAAAACGTTTTCGTCCTGGGGCTTGCTTTAAGCATTAAAGTCTTGCTCTACAGGATGGCAAGACTTGGCCGTTTCCACTTTTCGAACAGCTCACTGTATACACATGGCAGCACAGCCACGTACACAGCACACGGAAGAGACACACCAAAAATGCTTTGGATACATCATCCTGATCTCAAATATTCCATAAAATAGCTCGATTTTTTTTTTCCCGTGAAGAAGAAAGAAATGGGACAACTTTCAAATTGCGCAGCTTGCCTGTGTGCCATTAAAAGGAACCAGTGGCAGCTGTAGCCCGGGGTGGGAGAGCCCCAGCTCCACTAGCACAAGTGGTGGCTCAGCTGGTGGCTCAGCTGGTGGCTCCAGGGCCCAACGATCTCCACAGGAGAGTCCTTTGCCTGCATTGCTCATGGCTCCAATCGGTGCTCCCCAGCAGCAGAAGCGTGAAATGCCTGTTGCAAAAACGCAAGCGGCCAGTGGCCAGCAGAGATCTCTGTAGGCTTACTGAAAACGCTCTGTTCCTCTATTCCATTAGTTTGCTTTTTGAAGCAGTGTTTCTGGAGAAGGGCCATGAGAACAACAGAGTGAGGCATTTCCCTTAATCACAGCATCAGACACTCCATTAACAGACTGACTTAATCTTCTCTAAACCAAATTACTTGCTGGAACATTTTGCGTTTGCATACTTTTGCTCTCTCTTAGGAACTAACAGTTTCTCTAGAAATTGTGCAGTTTAAGCCTGTTATGGTGTTTTTCTCCAGCATTTTCTTAGCACCTCAACACAAATTATGTGGTTGATCATCAGTGGTGAACATTGGCTACAGACACCCACAACGGGGGAAGAGAAGGCCCCCATGAGAGCTGAAAGAACAGCAATATCTTCCCGTGACACGGAAAAGCGCTTTTCGATGCTTCAAGCAAGACTGCTGACTCAGCATGGGATTTCTCTCCAAGCAGGGTTACTCCAGTTATTCAAATACAGTAAACACAAAGGCAGTGCTGAGGACATCGATCCTGCACCTACCTTACAGCTTTCAGTCTATTTTCTAAACATTTGTTAATGGAGATGCGGCTCAGTGTCAAGGCTAAGTGGGCAAATGTCATCTACGCTTGCTTCTGGTTGTCCTTGGATTTAAGACAACCACATACACTTCATTCTATTCATTTACCTATCCTGCTTTTATATCTCAAGTATCTTCATCCTTTCACACTCCCTAATTAACTATCAATTATTTTCCTGAGTGAAATTATAAAAAGTTAAACCCTTCTACCAAAAGTACAAAGACAAATAAAATATAGAACAATACAAACCCAGTATACAGCATTACAAGTGCAGAAATTCTTCATGTTGTTGCTCTTTATCATTGGCCCCAATAAAAAACATAGCAAAGAATTTAGTTATCCAAAATACTCTGAAGTACTGTGATTAGATTTTTCAGACCATAAATGTAGCCCTCATCCTTTGCGTTGCTAGGAAACACGTGAGCAAAATCGATCATTCGGACTTCCACGTTTGCACTTTCCTTGGTCTCTGCTGGCATGTGATAGAAAACTTTTTCCAGTTGGGGTAGAACGTTTCCGTTCAGGTGCTCCTGTGCAATGCACGTGCTGCTTTTCCACACGTTGTCTTGCTCCAAGTTTTCAACTTTTAGTGAGAGCTGACTGTGGTGCCTCTTTGAGCATGACTTTTTGTGAAGTGCATAAAACTTGGACAAGCCTTTACTTACGGAGGCTTCAATTTTTCCATTCTCTGTAGAATTTATTACATGAATATTATTATTACACTCCAACACATCTCCACCTGATAACAGCCCTTTGGGCATTCCTTTCTTCTCCACCAAGGTGACATCACTCAACCGCACAGTTGTTGCCTGACACGAACCTTCATAGACAAAAAGCAGTGAGCTTGCATAAAAGTTGAGTTGTGTCTGGCCCTCAAACCACTCCAAAATCTTTTCAATCTTCTGAATGCTGGCAGCTACCACGTCTTTTCTCAAGCAGTACCCACTGTGGAAAAACTTTGAGATGCCTGCAAGAAATAAGATACATTCTGGGATTATTTTCACCTCCGAAAGGAAAACAAACAATCTTCATAGTTCTTATTTGAAGGAACAGACAGCACTCAGGTAGTTTCTTTTCAGGCATTTATTAACTCAACCTAAAGTGGACCAAGGAATTCTGATACTGTCAGTCACCTCACCTGCTGTATACTACTACTGCTTGGGCTTGGATTGTAAGTGAAACTAAATGTATCAAGCAAACAGTAAAAGAACATGGTTCCGGCTTCCCAGGTAATTCAGTAAGTGCCTGGACAGTTTTGGGCAAATGTTAAATCCATTAAATTTTCCACAGATAAACAAGTCTCAAGCAGCTTGTTATCATGAGTGTGTTGGTGTGTGCACCCTTCTGTCCTTGCTGGGGGACAGATGAACAGGTGTCAACTAATAAGTAGTTTGCATTAGTTATCACCAAACAGCCCTATGACGGCAGCATTTTTATTTATGGTTAATGCAGAGCAACATGTGGATTGACTTCCACTGAGAAGGTCCCTTGAACTGAAAGATTCACTGGTAGTAGCTTTCTAATACAGAAGACATTTAGATATTCACAGAAGACAACTAGAGATAAAAAAAATATATTATAAAAGCATTTAATACTTTTAAAAGGTTTCTATTTCATTATAGTTTCAAAGCTGCAAAAAAATTGAATTCTACAACTATCACCTCCTTATTAGTAGTAAAAGAGACGTGAGGAGGAAATTCCTATAGTCTGCACTACTGTTACAGCCCAACTGCACTCTTAATTTCAGGTTGACAGGTAGCTCAAATTATACAGGGAACAGCTTAAAGACTCACCTGGCATGAGGACAAAAAAGGACTTCTAAAATGGGAACACACAGACTACTTTTTCCATACAGTTCTATAAGTAAGTTAATAAATGAAAAATATCCAAGTGCACTGAATTCTGACATCTGAATTCCCTTACCATCCTTTACTGTTTCCTTGGTCAAGCTCCTTCCATAGTGTTGGTTTTGTGTCTCGTAGCTGTCTGAAGAGACATGGTACACCTGAAAGAGACAAGGAGGAGGCTCCATAGGTATTTTGAAACATCAGTATTTCTGCAGAGCAAAGAGAGACTCACAGACAGGTCACAAAACCCTGGGCACCGTTTAGCCCTCGAAGTTTTTAAGTTTCTTGCAGTGGCCAGCACTGCCCTCTAGTGCTCTCCAAAACCCTCTCTTCAGCCCTTGGGCTCCAAGCTACAGCAATGTAACCATTACAGGGAACTGTTTTATATGGCCCCTGCCTTGCAAATCAAAGATGAGACCTGAATCTATCACACTCCCACACGTGTTACCGTGGATGTTAAATCACTAAGACATAACGAGCAAAAAATTTCAATGCAATTATTTTGAGTTCTTAGAACTATAAAACTATTAGCACAAAAGCAAAACCGAATTACCACCAAGGCCCAGCTTGCAAAACCCATCCAAAATTGTAATTGTCAGCACAAATGAGGTTGCACTGAATAAATGACAGCAGCTGAGCGAAAGCTGGGTTCCAGCCTTGACAGCAGTACATCAACTCTCATCTGAAAGGGAGGCAACTCACACAGGCACAGTTTTGTCCGTATGGTACAAGCTTAAGAACTTAATTCAAAAATGTTTTATATGTAGACACATTTTCTCTCTAACTGAAATAATTTCCATAGCAGAAACATGCCAGGCAGATAGGCGCAAGTATAATTTGTTTATGAGAGTGTAGACAAATTCTTATTTGCCGAAATAATGGGGTTACCAAGCAGGCAGTTTTCTCTGGCAGGAACTTCATGCTTGGCACTTGTTCACACCACCCAACTCCACGGCACCCATCCCAGCCACACCATTCCCTTCACCCCCATAAAGAGAGGATCCCATGGAAAGCAAGTCAGGGCACACTGGTGAAGTGCCTGCTCCTGATCCCTCCTTTGGGGGCTTGTCCTTGCTGTAGCCAACAAGTGAAGTCCAGGACAGTGAAACAGCAGCACGCAGAAAGGAGTGGTACAGGAGCAATAAAGAAAGAAAACAGAATTCCCTGTTTTCATTGCAGCCCTTCACCTCAAAATCTCTTTCCCCATCCCAACCACAACAAATCCATTAATACACAGGTCCCCACCTCCTGCTTTGCAAAGTAGCTGGGAAGAACTCTCAATAGCTCAAACAGCTCTTATTTTGACAAAAGGACAGAAGTAATTAAATTCAAAGTCCCCAAAGAACTTAAATCATAGTTTGTGGAAACTGATTTAAATCACCAACCATTAAGAAAAGGGTCAGCAAATAATTCTGGTTATTCTAAAGAAATAAGAGCTGTAAGCCTGAATGTTTAAACTCACTCGGTAGCAGAGACACTTCCCACTGCTATGATCCCTATTTTCAGTGTCATGATATTTGGAGAAACTGAGGCCTCGATGTGTATGAACTGCAGAAAGCCAGAGATGAATTATTCTGAAACTGCATTTGACCAATGTGATTTTGGGTTCACAAAATCATTAATTTTTCTCCACTTAGGTTTTTTTTCCAAAGCACATGAAAGAAGTACAGCATACTACACAGGAACCCAAAGATTACTTATGTTAACACTTCAGATACCAAAGTAACTTTCAGAAACATATGAGAAGTTTCAAAAACCTTTTGAAGAGCTACAAGTCAAAGGCAGTTAAATAAAAAATGAAGAAAAAAAATATGGCTTAGAAAGAGAATAAAAAGTCTGATGACAACATCTAAGTTCTCACTAGCTGTTTCTTGAGATTAAAATGAGTAAAATGAGATTAAACATTTTCATGTAGTCAGCCCAGAGGCAGCTTCCTACGGACATCAGCACTGCAGCAGTTCCTGACAGAACCATCTTGTTTACCAGGACCAGAACCTTATCTCTTCCCGTAGGAGCTGCAGTTTTTGCAACATGGGCACTAGCTCAAAAATGCTGATTAAGATCTGCAAACTCATCTTGTTTTCCAGAGGAATGCTGAAGCAGTACCTCAGCCCCTGGGCTTCTGAGCTGGGTTTCCCAAGAAGTCATCCCCTACCTCTCCTCAAAATTTGCACAAAACCATTCCCCCAAATGTCTTTCTATATAGTTTACAAACACCCAGGCAGATGTGCGTGTTTGGCACTAACGGCTCATTTTTAACTATACAAAATGGTCAGTGATAAATACCATGTCCCACACCCACACCACAAGTACTTATTTATGTATGTATTTAACTGCCTTATGCACTCAGAACACTCTCAGTCACCAGCAGGCTTGGCTGCAGACAGTGGCGTTAAAGGACAACAGATCTGGGTACTCACAAAAGTGTTCTCCATGTTAGCTAAAGAGCTGCCTCTTAACACCACCTTTGCTCAACTGCAGGGAAGAGTCCAGAAGAAACATTTCTGGAAAACCTCACTCAAATACAAATACATTAAACCCCATTCTGAAAGCAAGGGAACAGAAACCCAAGCTCAAACAGAAATAATCTCTCATCGGTTCTTGCTCCACCCTCACCTACCCCCCAAACACAAGGAGCAGCAGACTAATATCAACTTCCTATCAGACAGACCTCTTGCTTCACTGTGTTTTTGTTCACGCTGTCACCACCACCAATCTGCTACTAACCCTTCCCAAAATGATATTTGTCTTTGAACCAAGCCTTTTCTGTATCCCTGTTGTTGCCGCTGTCTGTACCAGCCCATTTCTGTCAGAACGATGACAAGTCAGATCCTTGCCAACAGCTAAGAAATTATTAGACAGGAAAATCTCATTTCTTATCCATATGCCACAGCTTGTTATGTGTTTGCTCTCTATTCACAGGGAGGTTCATTGCAGAGTGCAAGACAAAGAAAACTCTGTGAGCTGCAAAACACTGCCTCCTGCTTCATCAGTCATTTTTATATATTCTTAGTATGCGAGATCAGAGCTGTTCTAGTTGACAAATGTGAAGGTTCCTCCTTGTGCCTACAAGCAGCTCCCACTGCACAAACAGCTCTGGAATCCAGTATGTTAACAGGTTCAGGATTTCAACTGGCAGTAGCAGTGACTCTGTATGGGCAGCACATCAAAAAAACCAGACCCTTAACTGTTGAGGGAAATTATCTTTGTATGTTCTTAACCTGCACTTGGCTTTTGTTTCCCTATGAGGTGTTCAGTCATTGCTGCTTGCATGCCCACACAGCTTATATTATACCCTTTTTCAGTTACAGGTAGTTCATCTGATGTTTCTGGACTGATGAAAACCTTGAGTTAAAATAAAAAGTTGGTCCAGTGTGGTCTTTAAAAAAAGCACAACCCTTGCAAGGTCTCAGCAGAGATACACAGTTTGTGACTTCAGCTTTAGGATATTAAACTGAGGAAAATAGGTATCAAATGTCATGTAATGTTAATTATGATAATTCAGTACCAACTTCCATGGCGAGGCAGAAAAATATACACACTGTTCAAACACTTAACTGTGGCAACTCCCTGACTTCCAGAAAGTACAATTTAAATACACATTAAGAGTATTATTTCCTGTTTGGGGGAGATACTGCTAGCACAAATAAAAATCTCTACTCAGTAACTTGCAGAGCTGCTTCACATCTGCAAAAAATATCAACTAATCCACGTTACTGAAACTCAGGAAAATAACCCCAACCTATTTTGAGCAGGCCTGTACAGCACTGCAGAGGGCACCCTCAGGAGTGAAGGCCAACTCAGTGGCACACATGACCTGTGCACTGCTGACATTCCCATGCACCAGCTGGTGCCCGGGAAGCAGCTTCCTGCAGAGCTCCTGATGTCCATCCCTGCTCCCTTGCTTCCACCCCAACAGCAGCCTGGGATCTGCTGTCCTAAGCAAGGACATGGAGATTAGAGAGATATGTGCTCTGATGCCAGGGCATCCAGTCTTCACTGGGCACCCACAGAGCTGCCCAGCCCTCAGATCTTTTCCATAAATACACCTAATAGTCACCCCTGTGTTACACACATACAGGTAGGAGGGAGCCAATGTTCAGACACCATACAGAGGTTTCTATTTACAACAAAGCACCTCTGCACCCCTGACTGGCATCTGAATGTCAGTCCCCAGCCTGCTGCCAAAACTGGAGCCGAGCTGAAAGCAAAGAGTAAGCAGGCTTATCCAGGCACATCTGCAGGGGGCACCTCCAGCAGCAGGCCCAGACCCACACACACACCTGGACACCTTCTGCCTGTACCTCACAACTATAAATATAAATATAAATACACAGGTTTCCTTCACGCCTGAGCGACCCCAGTTTCTCTGCAGGCCCATAAACCTGCCACAAGATTTGAACAGAGCTTCAACAAGCCTTATTTTCTCTTTTCCGAAAACGGAAGCAAAGCAAGGATTTAAAGAGAAAGTAACACAAGGAAAGTCTTTTTAAAAAATACATTCTCTTATTTGATATCTCTGCTTTACAGTAACGTTGTCAACTATCACTGCTGCTGAGAGCATGTCCAGTTATCCAAAACTATTTATTTAAACAACACCTCCCATAATTTTGACTTTTGCTTTTTTAAACTTATGTTGTCGTTGCTAGACCACACATGATGAAAGTACACACATCCCATCCCTGATTGCTGCTGCCTTGAAAATTCAGCACAGGAAGGATGCATCCCTGCTCCCCTGTTTCCAAGACTATGCTTAGACAATAATCTGCCCATTCTGACATATCTTTCACCATTTCAATGGCAACCAGTACCAAGAGGAAAAAAATATATCCTTATAAAAAATACAAGATACCAAGTCCTTGTGTTAAACCACATAACAAAATCAGAGTGCTTCAAAGACTAAGTGTACCCCCAAATGCTCTGACAGTCAATATAACATTTTAGTGAAGTCTTCACATAAATAAGTTGTAGAATGAAATTATGTTGAAATTTATTCAGTGAAAAAGCAGACTAATAATCTCCTAAATAAAAGAAACAACGATGCTGCAGTTAAATCATGGACCATCTTAAAAATAGCTTAATACAGAATTTTGGACTCCCAGAACTTCTATGAAGCATCTCATTAGAATACAATTCTTTCATGCCTCCTTTTCATATAATAAAAAAATATCTGCTCTGGGGTTTGGAGGAGGGTTTTTCAGAGCTTTTGGCTACTTTCTTTCGATTGCTATGGGGGTTTTGTGGTTTGTTGGTTGGGGGGTGGTTTGTTTGTCTGGCTTTTAGTTTTTGTTTTGCTTTGTCTTCCTGTTTTCTTAAACATCAAAGCTTGAATTAGACTTAAAAATGTAAAAAAAACTAGTTCTGGTAATTTTTTACTGTGGAAGAATCCGAACACTAGATTTGGTATTTACTATCTTTGTTACTCCTTCCTTCCTAAATCTTATTATTCACAGATCAGAGCTTATGAAACTTACCACAACACTAGAAAGAGTTCATGAAGAACTCATAAAGCAGACTCAGCTATAGTCAGTTTGAAAACACCCTGCAGAAACATGTGCTGTAGATTAGGAAATTCACTTCTAAAACCAGCTTTGATTATTAAACTTTACTGCCTGCATGTTCATAGGTACAAACAATAGGGGTCAATGACGGGTTACACTGCTTCAAAAAAGTGTTTCGGAAATATTATGGAATAGCTTGCAATCAGGATCTTCTGGAAAAAAGAAAACCTGCAGAAACTGGGAACTGTGGATTCCAAATGGACTGTGGAATCTGAAATGAGAGCACAGCCCACACATTCTGCTTCTGCTCAACAGCATGCAGAATGCTCTGTATTTAACACTGCCCGTGCTGTGAAGAGATTTCTTACCTATATGTGTGTCTACTACTGAAACTATATTACAATTTGTGGGTTTGCTATTGCAACAGAACCTGAGTTTTCCAACTTAGATTTAAACTCTCGCTACTGCAATAACAAAACATGCCCAATCTCACAGAATCTCAGAATGGTCTGGTTTTGAAGGGACCTTAAAGACAATCCAGTTCCAATCCCTGCCACAGGCAGGGACACCTTCCACTAGACTGCCCTGTCCAGTCTGCCCTGTCCAACCTGGCCTTGGACATTTTCAGGGATGGGGCATCTGTTAAAGAAAGGAACCTCTCCACTAAACATGGAATTGTGGGTTTAGCCAATGTTATTTCAGTAACTTTATTTTCTAAATGCATTTCCATGCATTTGTTCTGTCTATGCAGTGTGTAAGGTAAATACAGGTTAGCATGTCAAATGCCAGAGCTGTGTACTATGTACTATGCTGTGCCAGACAGGAGACTCACTTTTTAAGGGAAAACCATACATATTTGATATATGAGCAGATGATTGCTTACTTACCAGTGCATCAAAAAAAGCTGTATCAATAGCTTTTGAGATAAAAATACACTCTAAAAGTAAGTTTTGGGGTAAAACCCCCACCTGTAACACTTTTTGTTGTTTTTATCTCTTTATGACAACTTATAGCACAGCTGCTTCAGAAAAAACATAGCTACCTTCTGTTTCTCCCAGCCCTCTCTTTCTTGCCCTTCTAAAATAGAAACTTATGAGGCAAGCCCCTTCCATGTTAAAAATAACACTGAATGGACTAATTCCTGAATCATGTTACACCATGTTTTGTCCAGCAAACATGAGCAAACTTCACCCTCCATGTGAGCTGTTCTGGGCAGTACATATCCATTCAGGAAAATGTTTTATAGTATGGCCAGAATCTTGCAAAAATAAAGCAAGCAGACAGGCCATAATCAAGAGGCAGAGAAACTGCCTTGTGAATTCAGACTTTGCCAAGTGTTGCACGAGGGGAGGAGGAACCTTTTCAATTCTCTTTGGAAAACAACTTCCAACATGCAATTTGGTGCCAGAGGCACAAAACCAAATCTCATCTAGTTAAACACTGGATGGAAAACTGCACTGCTTGGGGGAATCATCAGTATACATCCAATCTGCATTAGGGGATTGAAAAAATTTCTGCAACAGGACAAAGATAAAAATAACTGACAAGTTAGAAACAATAGTCACAAGCATACCACGGAAGCAATCAATCATTTCTTTTGCACTGTCACAAAACAAAGGACACAAAGTACATTGTTTTACACATGAGATAAGAAAGGTTATGTAATGACACAAATCAAATCCAAAGCTATAATCTCTAACCTTCCTTTTCCATCCTAACTGTTTGGCTGTTTTTTGAGTCGACTCCCACGTTCTTGCTCATAGGCTTACATAATTACTACACATGACCACTATAATTTATAGCTGTAGCAGCTTATCTCAAGGCAGAGTTAAGGCTGGGAGCTTAGGCAATTCCACACAAAACATTGCAGAGATATTAGAATTAGCTGAAACAATGGTGCAATCTGGGTGCTACTGAACAGCAAGGAGGAAGCTTATCAAAGTCTTCAGCCATTTATGCATCTTGATGCAGAGCTTTAGGACCCCTGGCTTTGTGTATGTGAGAAGGAAGACAAAAATGTCACATCAAAAAGAAAATTACTTCTGCATCAATCACAGTAGAAAAAAAATACTTTTGGATTGCATCAGGAATCAGTACTGACATCAACACATGTCTGTTACTAAGCCACAAATGTTCTGTACAGCTTTTCTGTACAATGAAGTTTTAAAGTAGCCAATACACAAACACTGACTCTTAGTATTTCTAAGAGTAATTAAGAATTAGTGCAGACATCTGCAGGGCCTCATCCATGCCCAGCCAACCTTCCCTCACAGCTGTTCCTTGAGTGTGTAAGCATCAACAGAGGTTTCCTTCTGATGGAAAGCTTTTTAAAATGTAGAACATAAGCAGCTGTTTATAGCTACATGCATCACCTCTGAGAGCTTACTTACTCTTCCCTAAATAGAAAAAATATGTAAAAAATATATTTATAAAAGAACATCAAGATGAAAGATGTGGAGAGGATACAGCTCATTATTAAATTATTAGAATGACTGGTTCAGTATGTAAATCTCTGATATAAGCCTAAAAGAAAAAAAAAAAACAACAAATCCACAAAAAAACCCTTGATAATTTTAAATACCTGCTGTGGTGGTGAAGAATTAATTGCAACTATATTCAGTTTTAAATACCCAGCCCCTCTCTTGTACACATATACAGTGCCCAGGCTGCAAATAGCTTCCTGTAAGGGACCCAGCCAAGTCAAACACTTGCTGCGAACCAGGGCGGTGTTTTGGAACAGATCTCACACAGCAGTTAACACCAGCACTACCAACACATCCAGATAATGCTTCATTTACGTAAAACACAGGAGGACTGTCCTTTGCTAGGAAAACCAGCCCCTGTACCTGGTGGGGAACCAGAAGCCTGAGCATAAGCTGACATTGAAGACAAAACAAGTTCTTACCCTCATGCCGAGTACCAAAAAGCCAATCTCTTCCATCAGCGGGTACTTGCTGACCTGCTGCTGGATCTTCTCCACCGAAGCATATGGATCATAACTTTTCTGACCTATTTTTACATCCATTATGCAAGGCTTATTAAACTTACGGGTCACATCTTCCAGTTTTAGATAGGTATCTGTCAAAAAACCGAAACTTTTGTAAACAATGGGTCAGAGCAAAATAATTGCATAGCTTTAGCCAAGCTCCTTTGGAGGAAGCTGAACAGTTTAAGACTTAGCATCACATAAGTTTTTTAAGAGTTGAATTTGTCTCCAAACACTGACACCCACAAATTCTGTCGGTATGAAATTCTAAATGCTTTATTGTTTAGAAAATTGTATACAATTAACTTATGCTAACCTAGCATTTAAATTCAAATTATTGCCCAGATAAAATCTGTGAGTAGCTTTTGTTAGTTCAATAACATATCTCAAAGAGCATTACTAAGCACATTCAAATGCAGGTTACTGCGTGGATGGTTTTGCAATGCAGACAGTGTTTACTGCCATTTTAAAAATGAAGTGAACATTCAGTCCTACCCTTCAGGGGCTGAAGTGCAGCTCATTTTGCTTCTTTTTATCCCACTCCCATCTGTACTCATTTCTCATGGCACATCTTTTGGGGAGAAAACTCTTCAAATCCTTTAATGAATGCCTTTCATCCATTTCCAACAGTCCCTTTGGGAGGGGGGCTGGACCAAAAAACCCCAAAAGTACTTGGAGTGCCTGAAGATTTAAAGGAGTATCTAAAACCTCATGAAAATGGCTTATGCTTTCCTCCAGGGCAGGTAAGAGACTATTACCAGCATGATCCCCAGCACTGACTGTCAGAGCACAAGGAAATGAACTTCAGTAACTCCCTGGCTCGACTCTGCTTGGTAGATGTCTGCACCCATCTCCAGCCCTTACCAGGACACCAGGACACCAAGACATGCACCAAGACAACACACAGCCTGAACACATATCTGCTTCTTCAAATCCACCTGTCACCAGGCACAAACTTAAAGTCTGGTTTTCTTTCTAGTACAGCCTATTCCACGCGTGTATTTCTTTGACTTAATGTAGCCCAAATACATAAACGTTGTATTATTCCCCATTCCTGCAGCATGATCTAAAATGAAATTGCCAAAGAAAGCAAAACCAGTTCAAATTTAAAAAGAGCAAAGGCACAAAGTGTTTTGTTTGAAAGCTGTACAGACAGGTAACAAAACCAGTCGGGGTCAAGACAAAGTGAACAAGCAATGTTTCATTTCCCCTAATAAGAAACACTTTCTTAAGAAAAAGAAATTACACGGACTTTTATTACTTTAAGGCCTAGGAGAGCTTCAATTTTTACACCATCATGATCACCATCATGAAATGTCCCAATTTGCACCATCATGAAATGTTCCAATTTCCCGAAGTGTGTATTTATCAATCTGAAATAGGTTTAATTTAAGCCTTAGATGCCTGCTTTATGTATGAATGGGACCAGGCATCTTGTCAAGGTAAAGTCATTCTCAGGAAAACCTGTCAAATCAATACACTATTTAAAAAAAAGAATCCACTTTTCTACTAACTCACTGTATCAGCTTTCAATTTGCCTTGGGCTGCAGGATCTACAGCAAAAGGAGTTTCATTTTAGACTAGCTCACCCACTAACTACAACTGCAGAATACAGCCAAGTTTAAATAACTTGTAGTTAATTTTGAGGAGCCCCAGGCAGCAAACACGCTTGGTATTTGCTCAGTGAATATCCCCAAGGAAGAAGTAGGACAAATACTCTCCACACCAGGCAGTGTATTCTGCATCAGGCAGGTGCCACTTTTACTACTTGATGGTGTCACACAGAGGTCTAATTCAGTCAGATATCAGCACAGCTTTTGCAGGACTTTGGGGAACCACTACCAAAACCTGGGGAGTCCATAAAACCTGTTAGCTACCTGTTATTAAAAACTGTAAAAATCTGTCATCCTTCACACCAATCCTTTTCACATACTGCAGAAATCACCGAAAATGACAGATTTGTGTCACCATTCTAAAACAATCCAGAAAGCAACTAAATGAAGTTCAAATGTTTTCAGTGGCTCTCAAAAAGCACAGAGCCACAAGTTTGCCACGGGAGGTGAAGAAAGACAATAAACACAAAAATATCTCAAAAAAGGGCTGCAGTCCACCACCACCAACCCCAAAATGCTTTGGATCCTGTTGTGAGCACTCTGGACTCAAATTGTTACAAATACGAAATTATACAAGTTGCAAGTTACCACAAATGATACAAATGATTTAGATAAAATGTTTTCATCAACTCTAAAATATAACCATATAGACAGTAGTGTAAAACATCTATTTCCATGAGCACCCATGGGTATCTGCTGTCCACTACTCCACTGGTCTAATTCCCTCTTTTAACCATGCAGCACCAACATTCAGCACCTCCCAAATATCTGGAAGTCCTAAATATCTGTCACCGCTTAGTTCCCTAATCATTTCAGATTTGTTAAACTAGACCTCCTAAAAACATAACAATTAAAAAATTAAGCATTAAAATAACTTCATAGCTAACGCTAACCCTGGGAAATACTAATTATTTGGCAAAGCCTGTGAATTATCCAGAAATTACTCATCTCTCTCACACTTTTTGGAATTATTTAAGTCCTTCTCATCAAGTAACTGGCTAGCTCAGAATCAGGACTTTTACATTTGTTCAGTACACATCTCTGCTCACACAAAGCTGTCTGGTCTTGTGGGCAGAGCAATGCCACCCCTGGATAAAGCACCACAACGAGTTATTTTTTCCTCATTACAGCTTCAGAAAAACAGATCAAGTGTTTACACTGGTTTGTTGGCAATATTTTGGTGCTTATTTGCACTGTGTTCAATAGCCTAATGAAACAGCTCCCAAACCCACAGTGTCAGAACACACAACACTTTCACTTCCAGCAGTGACCCCCATGGTATCTCCAAGCACCAAGACCAAGGTAAAACGAAGTAAGCTTCAGGTAGGTGTCACTGCTCTACTTTTTCAAGTCACTGAGAGTCTCTGAGGCTCTGACCCTAAGTGTCCTTCTCCAGGGCATCACTGAGTCTGAACCTGAGCCCAAGTAACCACAGCGCTCTCTTCCTCTTCTTGTTTTGTTAAAACAAAAACCTGCAGATTTTTCAAGCAATAAAGACTTTCTAAATTATTATATAGTGCCCTGCTAACCCAATGTACTTCTGGAAGTCATGCATTCGCCATCTAAATTCAGATGAAATTAAAAAAACCTCAAAGAGAGAAGAATTCATAACGATTTCTGTATCTTGCTCTGCTAGCAGTAGTCCTGACCATACATTATGAGGATTTAAATAAATCATTCATCACAGACTTGCCCTGCCCACTTCTATTTACTAGTGGTAGGAAGATGTGCCTTGACATATTGTTTACATATTTTATTACAGTTCCAAAGGAGACAAACCAAAAGACCACCAAAATTCAGCAAGTATGTGTGGCATGAACCACTACAGACTTCAGGCATCTGATTCCTTTTCATAACTTAGAAGACATCTCTCAAAACACAGAAATAAGAAGAGAAAAGCCTCAACTGCCCACAGCAACAAATAAAGAAAGGAAAGATTTGAAAATGGGTTATATTTATCTACCCTATCCTTAAGTCAGGCAACCAAATTAGACAATGGTATGAAGTGAGCAGCAGTAAAGTCACTTAAAAAAAATATAAATAAAAGCATGGGCAACAAGTAGGAAGCCAAACCCAGAAAACCCAGCAGCAGATGGCTCCTACATCTTTATAACTACTTTTCCACTTCTTTGGAGTGAATAAACTCCAAAAGCCCACAATGCCAGTGAAGATTAAGGTCAAATCCAACCAATTTTAGATGAGCTTAAGGAGACAGAATCTCACCCACCTCTACCTCCATTTCCTTCGCAGTAGCACTGGGTATGTGATTTCAGCAGAACAGGACAGTGTTTTTACAAATTGTATTGATACTGGGAGTTAATCTTTTCCATCATACTTTCTACATTTTCATTTACATTTCACACATTTCACTCTTTTTAGATAGCCATTTCATCTACTTATCTACCTTTTCAGCAGAGAAGACTGACAGTTCTTCCTAAATATTTCTGTAAGGAAATAAATTCCTTGTGTTCTTCACCTTACCAATTGCAGTTCCTGCTTACTTGTCACATGGAAACTCACATGAGAGAGGGTCACAAATCAAGTTAGAGTGGTCCTAAATTAAGTTTTGTTTTTTTCAGAAGTCACCTATGTCCAGTTTAGCAACAATAGGGAATTACTGGGTTCATGACTCAGAGGTTGTATGGAGCTGTGTCCCCAGAGCCTGTAGAACAGTGACTGCCAATGGAAAGGTCAGGCTTCCAATGTCAGGACTGCAAAAAACCTACAAATATATCCTTAATCTACAATTAAGAACAAGATACACATGCATTCTGCTAAGCTTCATCATCTCCAACATCTGTGATTTCTATCAAGACTACACAAAGCTCATTAATACTACAGATAACAGAGTTGGCAGTGCAGTGTTTTGGTTGAACCACTGCCACAGCTTTCTATGAAGAGGGCTCCTGTTAGTGCACAGTCTTTCCAAGAAGAAAAACAAACAAAATCAAAAGTTACTCTTCCTTTAAGCCGTTATTCCTATGTCTGGATGACTGGTGGAGACCTGCCAAAACTCAGTCCCATGGTGCAGAGTGCTAGTGAATTCCCAAAGCAAATGAGGGTTGTGTTGAATTACTATATCTTGGCTAGATTTTTATTTTTATTTTTACATCTTAAGATCACACTGCAAATAGAAAAAAACTATTTGCAATTGGAAGGGGATGGATATTAAGTGGGCTCCATGACACACAGAACACTGTGAGGGAAGGAAAAATATAGCTCTGGTAGAGCTATTTGAGTTAGTGCCAAACAGGAAAGCATGAAAGCAAATCTGAGCCAAGAAAGTGGCAGTATTACCACAATCTTCCTTGGATTTCTTCTTGCAGAGATTAGACCATGTCTTTGGACTCTGTCTCGCTGCTGTCTTTGGAAAACAAGTCTATCAAGTGACAGCATAAGCAAAAGAAGACAGAGTTATTTTAAAGGAGCACAGCATCTAGCTTTTGTGCCCATGTATTTAAATAGACTCGACAGCATCCCTTTGCTCCTGTATGTTCTGGAAGCTCTATTTCCCCAGTGTGAATAAGGAAAGTCCCCAGAAGAAAAGCTGGTTTCTGTTTTAAATACAACAATAATACCCATTTTCTCTTGAAGAGACAATCTCCCAATTGCTCTACCAAAATACTTTTTTCTTCCTGATTCCCAATGTTATACGAACACAAAATTTAAGACACCAGATCTTTGTTCCATTCAAACCAATGACAGAGGATGACAAGTGGAGCTCACCAGCATGGTACCTGCTGGAATAACTAACTGCTTTGTGTGAAAAGGCATGATGATGGGATCCAACCTCTGGAGATCCAGCAGCAGATTCCAGTCGGAATGCTTCCATTTCAGCCCCAGCCTATCTGTCTTTCCTTCCTTCCACATCCACGAGGTGCCTGCCTCTTGCTCTGATGGCCTGACTGGACACAGCCATGAAACCAGCCCACCCCTCCAACACAACACAAACCAGACCAGCAGCTCTGAGGCAACATGCATCAGGCCCAGCTACTCAGGAAAACTCTGCTGTACAAACAGGAGGAAGACCCCAAAGACCTAATCCAGCCCCAGGACTGCAAACTGAAACCAGCTGGCAGAGGGAACATTAGTGGGTTACAAAACAAGACCAATAAAAACCTACAGAGCTCACAACTGCCAAAGATCAGTCTCCAGAAAATATTTCCAGAACACACGGATTAACAGACAAAATTAGAACAGTACCATTTGGTGCAGTAGGTGGTGACCAGACACCGAAGTATTTTGGCAGATATTTCCGCAGCTCCAGAAGAATGCTGTCACAACAGTCAGGGTCATAAACCTGAAATAAATTAGGGAGGGTTGGAAAGATCGTCACTTTAAAAACATTCATTTTATACTTCCGATTGTCCCATAGTTATACTTTCTTACAGTGTTTGTTTTCATAAGTTTAAGATTTCTACTGTACATTTAAAAAACATACAAGATAAGGATGATAATTATCACAGTCCAACATAAAGAAGTAGCATCCTTTCTTTCAAATTTTGAAGTGGAAAAGATACATCAGCTCCAAGAATAATTTATGGCTTAACTTGAATAAAAATCTAAACTATAATTGTTAACTTCAAAGCCAATTTAGTGAAAAGGGTGTTCTCGCATCCTGGATGTGAGACTGTATAGGATTACTGCATTGTATCATATACCCAAAGCTTTTTAAATTATATCAGGTAAAGTACATAGGCTCAGACTAGATAGTATTTTCTTGTCCCCTCCAAAACAACTCATGCTGTAGCTGCATCACACAGATTATACACAATTCAAATACATTTCTTTTCATTTAACACTTTCAACATTTTATTTAGCTTCTGTAGGAAAAACACGAACAGTTTGGAAATAGCAGCTGGTTTATGTTCCTGAAGGAACAATTCTTTGCAGAGTGAAAACAAAGCCTATGGAATCACATGACTGTCGCCAGTTTGTGGTTTCAAGACCATTCCCTTGCCCAGATTCACCCCCACCCCACCCAAAGATGTAGTTCCAGACATAGGGGATTGCCTACAGGTTTCCATGTGCTTTGTGGACTAAATGATCTATATCCACTCCAGTACAGGTTACAGTGACAGTTACTGCATTTAGGAGCCATCTCATCCCACTCCCCTTACAGTTCTCCTAGCTGTGATGCCACCAGAGTAGTGTCCTGCCCCTCAGCCCCACACTGGCTGCACAGCAACACCCATGGATGCTGCACAGTGACCAAACCATGCTAAAGGTTCTGCTTTCACTTCAGTGCAGCCAGAGCCCACTGCAAAGTCAGAAGCAAGGCAAAAAAAAGTCAAGTGTTAACAGCTCTGCAGAGTTGGCTCAGCAAACTGTGTCAGACCACATTTAACCTCAGTAGGGGAATACCTTGTGATGGCAACTCCAGTGGGGAGGTATTGCAAAATACACGCCTATGTTGTTGTAATGTTAATACAACTAGGGAGAAAAAAAACAAACCTGAAGTCCAGTTGCAATTTTTGAGAATCAAGGTAAGCCTTGGCTATCCTCACCAGTGCCAGGTAACTCTAGACAGAACCTCTAGCAGAACACTAAATAAGTTAATATGCGTTTGTGCTAAGTTCAGGTTTCATTGCAGAAACCTCAAACTCAAATCACCAGTGTGTTTCTCACACAGGGGCTGCTCCACGGTTAACACGGGGTTCTCCTGGGCTTGCACCAGCCACAATTCTGACACCTTCATGCCAGCACCATTACTGGGCAGCGATCAAAAACACGGTAAACCCAAATCCACGCCGACTGCACGCCAGGGTAATGAATCTGACCTGTTCCTTTAACTAGTTCATGGTATATGCCCCATTTTCAAGATCCTAAGGGAAGGGGCTGAAACCTCAAAGCTCAGACCACAAGAATATGTGCACAGCGTATTGCAAAACACTGGCATGCACCCACCACCCCACCCTCTGCCACTACTGCTGCTATCTTAAGCACACAGAAGTTGCTGGGTGCGTATCTTACAACTCACAGTCACATCACAGGGCACTGATCTCTCTTCACACGTCATGATTTAAGAAGCTGGCATGACCTCTGAGGATGACACATAATTGTACATCTAGGCCCAGTTTTGCTCCATGTTAACACAAGCTGATATGCTGGTATGTTGTGTTCTAAGACAAAGAGCCTTGCTTGCTCCCAGGATCAGTGGTTGCTGTGTATTTATGCAACATTTCTTCACCAAGCCTCAGGCATCGCCAGCGGAAGACAGCGCTTTCTCCAGAAGAGAGATCTAGCTTGATCTTACTAGTTTAAGTAAGAAAAAAAGAAGTTAAGGGTGGGAGAGAACAGAGAGAAAGATTAGCACCAGGCAGATGCTGAGGCACAGACCGGACCACTGCTCTCTTTTATAACAGTTTAGTGTTCCCCACTGTACAGACAGCTGTTCCTGGGCCAGGACTCCAAGCACTGACAGGTGGCATTACTTCATGCTGTAAGCATTCTCAGACCAATAGTACAAACCCAATTTTTGTTTACTGTGGTAGTTTCTGATCATAGCACTTCACAGCCAAGGTAGGGACCCGCGTTGGCCCAGCACAAATGCTCTTTTCCCAGGTGAATTTAAGCAGATCTGAGAGGCAGTGACCATCACGCAGTGTCACAGCCCTTACATGTGAGCAAGTACATATATTTAGGTCATGAGCAAGAGGAGAGAGATGGAAACCAAAAGTGCAGCAGACAAGGAGAAGAAACACTGAATGCAACTGAAAAAACAGGCAAACATAGTAACTCAATTACTTAATCTATTGGCAAAAGATTCTGAGAAAGTGAAATGTCAGGAAACCACTTCTGTTTTTTAAAGAGACAGTACCCTTGACTTACTTTTTATCATCAACTTCAGGCAACTGAACTTAGCAACTAAGCAAGTAATTATGAGTATACTCCTGTGTATTCCAAACATCAGGATACAACAAAGATACTCAGATAATTTATAAGGGGGTGTTGTAGCCCAAAGTCAAGGCCAAATGAAGAAAAGAGCTCCAGAAACCATGTCTTCCAAGTAGTCCATTCCTTACTACAGTGACATATGACATTTTAAATAGAGACAGAACTCCCAAGTAATGCCTTTTTCAGTATCATTACTCTGATATAACAGAACTAAGTGCATTACTTCTGTCTCTCAAGAAGCTGTCTCGCTCCCAGAACCGGTAATAAACTCCCTTCGTAAGTCTGACCTAACGTATACAAAGCACTTATAATATGGAGACTTCTGTATTATATAAACCTTAAGATAAACTTCAGTCTTAGCCTGTAATGTATTTGCACGTCACAGGGGAATAAGCATTTACTCTAAATAAAGATTAGAGGAAGTCACTTGGCGTAGGCAAAGCTACAAAACCAGAGGTTTCAGGAATTATGTGGGACATCAGAGCAGGGCCTCGTAAGCAGCACACGTGTCGTGGGCTTTTCTTCTCAGTTCATACAACCTGTTAGCAAGCTATACACTTAGATGTCAATCAGAATGCCAAATACAGATGTACACATAACAACATCATCCCTAAGACTACATGAGAAATAAACAGTGTACCTCGTACACCAAAAGGAGTTGCTCCCAATACTGTTGGAAGACCCATGAAAAATGCAGGTTATCACTTACCCCACAACAACCTTTATAAACAAACCATTAAATTTTTACTCACATCAGCAATATTCCACTTTCAGCAATATTTCACTTTCAGCAATATTTCACTTTCAGCAATAATGTTTGGGTTTTTTTTCTTTTTAATGCAACAATAGTTCCATTTCTCCAGCATATACTGACAAATAGAAGCAATTTCTCCACTGCCAGTACATAATGTCTTCAACAAACTGAGAACTGCAAAACAATTCTGCCAGCTCATCTTGGGGAGGTATCCCTTCTATGTATCATAGACTACATTCCTCTGATAGCACAAGCTGGAGACAGAAAATGTAGTAACTGCTGGACTTAAAAGCAAGTAAACAGGATGCTGACATTTGGAGGGCTCACAACATCACCACTGCAAATTACAGTCACTAACTCATAGGAAGAATACACCCCACACATGTCCTGTGGCAGCTCAGATAGTCTAACAGACCTCATGAAGTCATAATTTCCAGTCACTCAGGACTTTTTAATTCCGAGGCAAATTTACCATCCCTAAGTTTTTAATCCAAAGTACGCTCTGTTTTGGTGTCTTTCAAACAGATTCATCTGGTTTTTAATGCAAACAGGGGCGGCTTGGGACCACAGGAATGTTCTTTTCCTTATTTAATGCAACGTGACATTTGGGGTTTTTTTGGTTTTCTAAAGACTAGCTAATGACATAAATGACAGAGGGAGGGTAAAATAAATGTTTAAACTTCAGCAGGAAACTAGTTCTGGCAGTACAGACCTGTCTTAAATTGTTCTGATGAAAAGAATACCACTCTGACAGGAAAGTAATCTACAGAGAATCTTCTGAAGTATTCAAGAGTTAATTTAAAAGCATACATATATTTTTTAAACTCGCATTTATTGTAAAGCTATTTGAGTAGGGAACTTTAAATGCCAGAGTGGGCATATCAGTCTGAACCATCACCTTCCTTTGCTGCCAGCTATCATAAACTACCCCGAAAGGCAGCAGCACCACAGCCTGCGGTCTCATGATACACAAAACCAGCTGCCAACATCAGGCAGACAGTTCAGTGTCCAGTGTGGTTTTTTCGGGGTTTTATGAGCAGTTAATGCAGTTAAGTCATGGGCTTAAATTAGCAAATGCAAGATTTACAGGTGACAGTGCAAGCTTAATTCCCTCTCCCATTGGGTATGTATTATATCACAGATTTTAATTACTTGAGCGCACGCTGCATTTCCCTCTGGACTCCTATATCACCCAGTTACACCAAGCAAGTGCAAGGGCCAAAAAACTGAGGTTGAAACAGCACCTGTGATTTTAGCAATTCGTATCTGCTTGGCTTTACAGTTCAGACAGCCCTGGCTTCTTTTCAAAGTGGTACCAACATGGTCTGACTCGCAAGTGTCTGTAGTATTTGCTTCCATAAATATGACTGGCATTGAGCCAGCTCTGCTTGTATTGAAAATATCTGACACCAGAACAATTTCAAAAGTTAAGTATTTGTGAGTGATGTCATATTAAATGCTATTATATCAAACTGCTTATTTTACTGTCCAATATACAGGCATACTAATGAGATTGCAATCGTTCTCACTGAAGATATCTACAGAAAGAAAGAAAGTTTGGAACAAAGCAGGATCTATTCCTACAGTCTGACCACATAAATGGATTTTCAAATAAAGATGGCACGCACTTGTGACAATCATACCCTTCTTCCAGGAGTCAGGAAAAAACCCCACATTATATAAA